CATCAGCACAGGGGGAAATGATGCACCCAGGCAATCCCTTCCCCGTCCCTGCAGTGCTCGTGCCTCACAGCAACAGGATTTTGAGACCCTTTCTTTATAGTATCAGTTTTGGCAGAGGATGAACCACCCCAGCAACTATTTTTGTCTAAACTCATGCTTGAGGGTAGCTGAGTAACACAGGGTGCTCAGGAGTTGCTTTCTCGCTTTGGGGGATCTTTTGATGTGGAGGACAGTAGCCAGAGAAAACACAACTATTCCTCAAGCTGAAGGTTTTCCAGGAACACGGAGGGAGCTGCTTTTCTGACTTACAAATGATTAGGTTTTTGACATCCTTGGGTGACCTGCCCGTGCCAAAGCCATGGCTAACCAAATTCTAAATGTGTGCCTGGGCTCAGCATCCACCGGAGAGAAAGGGAAGCTCCCGCTGACCCCTCAGGGTCTCCCCAGCCAAATCCTTTTTTTTCCCAGCCGACAAACTTTCCCCCTTGGTCTGATGTGATAGAGAAGCTAGCTTTGCCCCACAGCGTCCTCGGAGGGCAAGGAAGGTCGGTGCTGTGCCGGGAGCCGCGGTGCCTCTGCCAGGCTGTGGTGCCCCGTGGGCACGGTCAGCAGCTCGCCGCTGCCCCAGGGATCCCACCTGGCAAAATATTTTCGTCAGATTTGCCACCTGATCCAGCTGGGTTTTGCAAAGCTTATTGGATAGGCTTAGCCTAACTGATGAAGCGCTCAGTTGGTCCCGTTGGGATAATTAAATTAGTTGACTCCGCAGTTGTAAGCCAGCAATTTCAGGCACATCTACTGCAAGGGAAACGTGTGTGTGTGCCTCACGCCTCTGGGTGAAGGGGTCTGTCTGTGTCCTCAGAGCCTCACTGGAGCCTCAAGGGAGCAGCTGAAGGACAGAGATGATGGAAAACGCTGATCCAGCCCAGCCGTGAGCTCTCCTTCAACCCTCAAGGTCCTGCTGTCTCCTCATCATGTCCCCTTGTCCTGCACAGGGCTGGGATGAAAGGCTGGGGAGGGACCAAGGAGGGAGTCAAGGACTGCACTGTGTGCGGCTCCTTGCCCACCGTCGTGGCTCTGAGCCACCCATCAGACCTTTTCCTCCCAAAAGGTGGAAACCAGAGCCTGGACACTCTCCTCCTTCCCTACCCATCGCGTGAGCCTGCTACCTCAGCACAAAAAGCACCTGCAGGCACCCTTCCCGGGGCTGCTGACCTCCTGCAGAAACCCCAAACATCACCAGGAGCACTGCGTGGGAGAGGAGGGTCTGCACCTCTGAACAGCTACTGCCACACAGCCCGCAGCCCTTCTCCCAAAACTCAGTTACCGAACACATCCGCTTCAGTGACATGCTGCTGCTTTTAGCAACCTGGCTGTTTCGTAACTGCAAGCATTTCTTCGTGCTGTCCCCCATTTCTCAGCCTGTTTCTGTTTACTGCTTCCCTTCCACGGTTCCACTGACAGCTGAAAAATTTGAGGCTCACTATGGCTTAACCTGGCAAGCAGGATTTAAGAATGGCTTGGAAATGGTCAGGGATTTGGGAAGAGGTGACCCCCCCGAAGCTGCAGAGGGGAAGTGTCTAGCCCTTGCAAGGACAGAAAGCAAGATCCCCTCTAAGTGCATCGTCTGTGGGAGCTGGTGGCCCAGCTCCAGGTGATCCAGAGTGGTTTCCAGCCAGGATCCAAGGCTCTTGGGATCCCTGAGAATATTTGAGGAGGGCAACCTGCTGGGCTTCGCGGTGCCTTCATCCTCCTGAAGCTGGGTCTTAGGTGGGCTTGTGTCAGTCCTTCTTTACCAATTTCTTAGCTCCCAATACACAAGTCCCACACAGATGTCTGACAGCCAGCTGCTGAGATTTGTTAGATCCTTTAGCCATGTCCTCCACCCATGTTGGGGGCACCCCCGTCCCCCACTGGGTCCCCGCCGTGGGGACGTGGGGTGGACAGCCATCCAACACAGGAGCCAGTGTGGGGACTCAGCCGTCGGGGTTGCTCTTGTTTAGACTCAAGTGTTTCGCTGGGGCCAAGGCCATCCCAAAGAGCTGTGTTAAGAGGTGCAGGATGCAATGCCAGCCTGCAGTCCAGCTCCTTGGAGAACAGACTGAGCCAAGCACACAGCCATGCCATGCCTGAAAAGCCTCACACAGACCTCAGCAGGGACCTGGAAGGGCTTGAGATGAGCTTCAGCCAGTGCTAAACCCCTGATGGGCACCAAGGGAGCTCCACAGGCTCACAAGGCTGGAAGAACAGCTACAAAAAGAGGCTTTTCAGGCCCCGGCATGAGCCTTTTATTCCACAAAGTCTGCAGAGCAGAGAACTGGCAGCAAAACCAGCTGGACACGATGCTGGGGCGGCACCCCCACCAGCGCGATCTGTTGGGGGTCTGCTCTACCTGACACACTGTCTCCGTGCCCTTTGTTTGCAAAGGCTGGTAATTAAAGGGCAGAAAATCGCAAGGAACCTTTGGAAAAAAAAAAAAAAAGGAAAGAAAAAGGCTTCACTGGCATTTGCAAAGATAAACTCATTAATTCTTTTAATGAGGTATCAAAGCCTGGGAGCCTGTCACAGCTGCAGCCCCCCTCCCCTGTGCTCTCGTTTGGTGCCCCCGCGAGCTGGCTGGGCATGAAGCGATGAGCAAAGAAGAGCAGACGACTTCTGCTCTGCCCTCCTAGCACTTCCAAAAGGCCCAGCTCACCGGGGCGCGAGCACCTCTCGGAGATCGTAACCATCGCGCAGGCTCTCCGAACAGCCAGGCGCATGAAAACAGTCCCCGGCCCTTTGATCTCTCCCCTTTCTTCAGCCGTGAGCCCTCCAGCAGATACAGCTGGGGCGCACGTGCATCGTACCAAGGCTTCGCAACTCACTCAACATTTTGGTTTCACCCCGAAAGGTCTTGACGATCGCCTCCGTCTCCTCCCGAGGTGCTGAGCAGCTTGCCCGGAGGGCCACGATGGGCACGCTCAGCCTTCCAAGACCAAACCACCGGTCACGGCAAGCAGACCCCGCAGTGGGCAACCGAGCCGAGGGGCTCGGTGGCCTGTGCACACCAGCTCTGTGGGCATTTTGCCACCTGTGCACCCACACAACCGCACGCCCTACTATTGTGCTTCCAGGCCAAACCGCCCAGATGCCACAAACCCCCGTGGCACACAAACACCACCCTTTGCACGGCTCCTCCCCAACCTTTGCACACAGGCCTGCGTGTCTGTGCAAACCCCCGTGGGAAGTATAAGTGCCAGTTAGGCTTTGCATTTCCAAATGCGGCCCCAGAGAGTGCCGTCAGAGGAGGAAATGTGGGTGAGGAGGATTTCCTCGGCTGCTGCTGGGCACGCAGGAAGAGGAGCAGCCCGTTTTCCAGCCCCAGCGCCTGCTCAGGGCCGCATCCTTCCCCCTCTTTCCCCAGCCGCTCTGCACCGTGGGCTTTCAGCCTGGTCCACAGCCCCTCCGTGACCTCCTCCCACGCCGGTGGGTTATTAACGGAACCTCAAGGAAAGCTGTGGTCATCAGCAGTTTTAATGTGCCGGTTTGAAAGCGAGAAACTTCCCGGGAGAAGCAGTGAAGCCGCATTCTGAGCAAGCTGGGGTGACACAGTCATCACCATGCATTGCTCCCCGACCGATTTGGGGACAGTCACCCTTGTCCCCTCCCCTCCCCATGGCTGCTTTTGAGCTAATTTGGGTCTTTTGCAGGCTTAGGTTTGCTGGGAAACTCCTGCCCAGGCTTGCAGGACATCCTGCACCGCACATAGGGGTGAAACAACCAGCGGCTGCTTCTGCAGAGAGAATTAGGATGGGGCAGTTGTGCTATTCCAACTTGCGGCTAGTAAAATATAATAACATGTGTAAGTTGTTTTTACTGCCTGTCCACCTTATTAGCTAATAAAATAAGCTTAGCATATTAAACATTTCTGGTGTGGTTCATCAAAAGACAAGAGCGATCCCTCACATTTTTCACCCAATCACTCAAATATGATTCCCTCATCCTTTTTATCATCTAAGCTCCTCAGGAGGAGGAAAAACCAATCTCTTCCTTCAACACCACTGCACTCCTTCAATCACCCTCTGTGCTGCCAAGCGTAAAGCGCCATAAAACATCGCATTCTTGTAAGAGGGGAGAACACATGCACAGCATCGGATGTCACCCCGCTGGGGAACAGCAAGGGGAGAAACCCCACGGCTGTTTCTCCATCCCACCCGATAAATTGCTGCCAACAGTTTCCCTGCGAACAACAAGGCGATGCCTTGCACCGGGCGGGCTCTGCCGGCCGTGGCTGTACAAAGAAAATCAGGAAAAAAAAAAAAAAAAAGAAATTTTAAGAGAGAAATCCTAAGAATAAAAAGCAGTGCTATGAGTGCGAAACGGAAACGCGGCTCGCATTGTCCTTCGATGCAGCCTCTCGCTTCGGCTCTCGCTAAAGTCCAGTGACTTGGTCTTGCAGGGAGAGGACCCGGGAGCAAAATCCTCCCTGGTTCGCACTTCAGATCTGTTATCTGGATTTGTGTGGCAGATTGAAGAGAGAGGTTGCGCTCTGCGTTTGCAACTGAAAATGAAACATGATAACATCTCCAGAGTGGAAAATTACAGAGGCTAAGCGCAAGTAAAGCCCGTAGAGGTATGAATTCGGCTCTTGACCGAGCCAGGGCTAGGTGCCTCGGGGTGCTGCTTTCACCTCGCCACGGCAGGCCAGGGGCCCCTCTCTCTTGAACTCAGAAACGTGGGGTTTAACATAACCCTGCCCGAAACCTGTGCCAGGAGGAAACGACGACGGCACGGCGGGCTCGGTGTGCCAAACCCAGCGCGGAACAGAAACGCGGGGACTTCTTAAATCGGTTTGGAGGGGAATGGGTTTTCCGTTCGGACGGAAGGATGCGCTTCCCTGCAACACCCGCGTCGCCCCGCGGGCCCATCCTCGGGAGGATGCTACGGGACTTTTAGCAAAGCGGAGAGCAGCACCACCTCGCCGTGGAGCCCTCGCGGGGGATGGCACCGCCGCCTCTTACCTGGGTCATCTTGGCGAGATCCAGCGAGGGCCGTTGCTCCTGAACCTCCTCCGGCCTCCGCCGCTTGACCCCGACCTTTTTGTCGTTGAGGACGCAGGGCTGCGAGCGGCTTCGGGAGAGCCCACCGGCCCGTCGGCTCAGCTCCGGCGTGGAGGCGGGCGTGCTGCTTGCCGAGGGCGGGCAGTACTCCGAGGAGGAGAAGCGGTCTTGCGAGCAGGAGAGGGACCTCTGCATGTCCGCCCGGTCTCCCCCGTGCCCGCCGGTGACCGATTTCCTCGGCTGGCACCCCAGCCGGCTGCTGAGGGCGGGATGCTCGCAGGAGAGCGGGTTGGACCGTGAGGGCAGGCTGAAGCTCGAGCTCCTCTGCATGGTGGCAAAGCCGTTGGAGTAGCGTTGCACGCTCCCCCCGCTGTAACACCGCCGTTTCTCCACCGGCGTCCAAACCTTTGAGCCCAAGGGTCTCCACGAGGTCCCGCAGATCGACATTTCGTCCGAAAATGAGAGCGAGCGGCACTGGCGCTTGCTGGGGGGGGCTGAGGGGTTGCCGTGGGGGTCGCTGAGGCTGAGGTCTTTGATCAGGTTGGTGACGGAGCAGGTACTGGCCGTCTCCCTCGGCCAACGCGAGCCCTCCTCGCCCTTGTCCGACAAGCAGTCCCAGATGCTGGCGCCCGGCTGCTCGAGCTGAAGTGGACATTTCCTGCTGAGATCTCTCCATCTGTCATTTTCTGGTTCAGAAAGGAGTAAAAAAAAAAAAAAAAAAAACCAAAAAAAACACATGCACAGGCATTAGCGTTAATTAATTCTGCAATTCACTTTCTACATCCATAAACAAAAAAAGTAGCATATGGGATGTTTTCCTGTACAAATTAATTAACTCTTGGAATATGGTTTTCCGAACTGCCAGCAGAGCGATTGCTGCAGTGTAGATGGAGAGAGAGAGATAAAGTGATAATCACAGCAGGAGCAAAACTGCTAGAAGAAGATAAAAACATGCCTTTGAATATACAGATTTCGCTAGCTAAGGGAAATTCAGCAATATAAAATGGTATGGCCATTGCCTTATCTCTATGCTAAATCATGTCTCAGATGCATGCAGTTTGTCCTGGGCTCCACAATCAATAATTTCCAGAGAGGTTCTCAAAAACTGGAAGTGAAGAGCACAAAGCTGTAGCACTGCTGGGGCGAGAGGGACCTCGGGAGACAAAACACCAGAAAGGAGATGAGATAGCAGTTGGGACGGTCCCAACAGGAAAGGGAGTGCCCCCCAGGCATCGAGTTGCCTGTCGTAGCACAGAAACCCCATCAAGGTCATCAGAGCCTATGGGAAACCCAAACCCTTCCCAACACCCATCGGGTTGTCCTGCTCTCAGCCACTGCTAAAACAGCACTGCTCCCATGAAACCAACTTATTCCCAGTAAGGCTCTGAGCATCTCTCCCAAACCAACCCAAAGATACTGTCTGTCAAAAGCTGGTGCCCATAATAAGCTCTAAGATGGCTGATGCTACAATAGATGCAGGATAAACCTCCGGCGGTTCTTTGCCAGATGCTGCCCTTAGGTCCCTGTTGTGAGGCTCACTGTCCATCTCCCCTCGGTCCCCCAAATCTGGGGCCACCTGGGTGCTCTGGCCCAGGTGACCCCCTGCCCGGGTACCCTCACGGATCGGGAAGGTGCTACAGAAACTGGGTACCCGCACCCTCCTACTTTCCTGCAGCAACTTGGGGTTAGCATCTCTTCGGGGTTGCCTTGAAAATCCCGGTTGTACCTAGCACAGCCAATTGTGTGCATTTCTGTAACAAGCATAATGCTGAAGCATATTTAAAGGAACAAATAATTTAATAGGTTCACTTTTTAAAAAAAAAAAAAAAAAAAAAAACACTTCTCTAATATTTTCTCCCTCTATCTTTAGTTCAGCTTGTTTACATGGGAATTTGTTCCTCCTACAAATTTGGCTTGCATTAACAGCCTTCCAACGCAGCACGGCGAAAGAGGGCGGTGACCTGTTGTGTGGTTTCGGGGTCGGCAGAAAGACATTCCCTTTGTCAGATGGCTTTTGCAGTGCTTGGCTAAAGCTCCAAGAAACCTGCACCTCCAAAGTCCGCGGGCTGAAATGTATATGGCTCTGGGCAGCTCCGTGTAGGAAGACGGCAAACCCGGCCACAGCTGTACTCAGAAATCCCACCGCTGATCGTGTCGAAAGAGAGGATTAAGGGTGATGATCTCATTCCCACACACGGTCCCGTTGACAATAAAAGAAGAAAGCAAAGTATCATCAAGGTCTGGCTCCCCGGCGCAGGCTGCACGGGTGAACGGGGCTCTCTGCTGTTGACGCTCAACAGGAAAACCATGGTAGGACAACCCCATCGCCTGCTGCAGTGGAAAAAAGTCATCACCCCACAGACCTTCCCTGGTGACTGTTTTTGTCGTCGGCTGCTGCAAACAGAGGCGAACCGTGCTAGCTAACCGTCGCTGTGACGTTTCACATGATCGTATCTAAATCATGTAATATTTTTTTAGGGGTTTTGGGGTTTTTCCACTCAGGCAACTGACAGATGAATTAAAAGCCGTACTCAGCCCGCAGCTGTAGGTACCAGCCTGATAGGGAAGATGCAACGGTGCAGAACGCTTCCGACCAAGGCTCGGTTTCAAGTCAGGAGGTCAGATTTGGGGCCCCTTATGCCCCTCTTGGCCAGTTTCCCCATTTCTCCCTGCATCCAACTGCTGCCATAACAGCTCCAGCCACAAACAGCCTGGCTCTGCCCTCAATAACCACATGCCATTTTAACTGTTGCTGTCCTCATTTTAATAAACACAATGAAAAGTGAGAAATTTGCACTAAACAACTAGATCTACGTTTAGATCTTTATTATTTTCCTTCTCTGTTATGCTGCCAGCAGAGAGATTTCTTGGGTCAGGTCAGCAGACAAAAGAAACAGAAATAGAAGCTGATTTTTCATGGCAAGCTGCCACAATCCTCCAGCCGGAGAAGTCACAGTGTACAAAAGGCCTTGGTGAGGAGGATACGGGACACCTTCCTCTTTCACCCCTGCTTCGGCACAAACAGCTATAAATCTTCCAAACCTTGCAAAGAAAATGGTAATTGCACTGTTATCCCCAGCACCAGCCTGGGGTTATTTGCTTTTCCCCTTGCACTGGGGGAGCTGTTTTTTTGGCAGAGCAGGGAGAAGACCCTGGCACAGCCTGACACCCCACCCCCCCCCAAACCCCCCAAGCACCACTGACGGGCCCCAAGCTACTGGATAACCCAGAAAATGTTTTTTTTCAGTGCAAACAGAAAACTGTTCACCCCAAAACAAGTCGAAAATGGGGTAGTCTAAGGGCTGAGGGTGTAATTAAAGGACTAAGGAAAGCCTTATTGAGGAAAAGCGGCTGATTTTCTGTTCAATTTTTTAGGACTAAGATTCACATCCTGAGCACGCTGATAACGATAATTGCAGTGGAGCCATTAATACTGCTGCAGTTAAGTGTGTATTAATTTTCTTAAATTACAAACCTCAGCTTGGTTTACCCTGAGGCAGTAATTTGTTCCGGGATAAAACCCACCATGAGAATCCCTCAGTTTGCCAGTGAGCTGCTTCACCAGAAAACAATCCTCTGCCTATTGGAAAAACAATAGGAGAACATTTACAACCTGAGCATGATGTAAGTGTGGCACGTAGGGGCTCTTCCCCTGGGTAAAACAGGTCCTTCTTTGCTGTTAGTGTGTTTAGCACCTTACTTCTGGATTTTAACTTAAAACTGCAAAAACGAACACTTCAAGTCATTTAATGAGCACGTCCAGCAAATTTCTTTTGAGACATTTTGATCTGTAAATCTGTATTTCCAGGGTGAAGCTACACAAAGTGAATTTTCTGGCATCTCTTTGGTTGTGAAATAGCTTTCCAGCTCCCAGGACACAGAGGGTTGTTATCAGCAGCCTGGGGAGGACCGAATTTCTTGTCCTGCCCTCTCTGGCCACGGCAGCAGGAGCTTGAGCCCTCCTGAAACCACGCATGAAACAGCAAGAAATTCAGGTTACGGCTGCAAGCTCCCAGGCTACCCAGCCTCAGGGGGACCCAAACCTAAAGTATTTCTACTTTCCAAAGCCCCAGCGAGCCCCAGCATGTCCCCTGTTCTGGCTGCTGGGCCATCCTCACCTGGTTTATTTTCCACCCCTCTCCTATTTTCAGAGACAAGCCAGGAGCCACTTGCGTGCAAGCACGGCCCAACCCGCCCTGGGATCATCGACAGCATGCTCAAGCGCTATCGGCTCCGCTATCTATTCCTAAATTTCCTTTTGGGCAAACCCAAGACGTTCACTTTTAAGAGTGAACATGAACCCTTAACAACGTCCATCTGTTCTCCCACGCGAGCGTCACCGCATCAGATGAGCCCAGCGGTCCAGGGCACGAGTCACTCGCGGGCCGAAGTCACGTCCCAAAATCGAGGAGATGGGTGTTGTCCTCCAGACACCCCCCGAGAGCTTTGCAGAGCCCCACAGAGAAGGGGCTCCATCCTCTGAGCATCGCAGCCAGGTTTCCAAATGCTGAGCTCCAGGTTTTGCAGGAGTCTGGCACCTTGCAACTTCAGGATGGTCTCGGGCTTTTTAAATGACTGCTGTGCTCCTCTGGTGACACAGAGTAAATTTTAATGGCCACATTCATAACCACAGAGAAGGGTGTAAAACCAAAACGCTGACACAACTTTAACTACAGCGACACAAATGTGCTGCTATAATATTTTTACAGTTCCTTTTTATACATAATGCATGATCCTTCTGCTCAAGTTTCCTCTACGTTCTTTTCCCGTGAAATAATTTACATTAATACATAATTTATTACAGCAACTTGTAAAGCAATTAGGGGTTTCAATCAATTTTTCTTCTCCTTTTTGGCAGATAAATTGTGTTTGGATCCTAACCCAAACATTTCTCTTCACACTGGTGCGCATCCAATTCCCTTTTTTCACATGTTGTTCAAGTCGAATTTCAGTCTCCCGGTCCCCATGCACAGGGGAAAAGGCAGCCTGCATTTTCCACTGCCCCCTGTTTATGTTCGAGAGATGATTTCTAAATGTGGAACAAATTTAATGGTTGTAATTAGCTGATGGCAGTGCCATAGAGCCTTCCCACGATGCGCGGAGCTGTGCTTCCATGGGAAATGAAAACAACAGCCCCCAAACCTACCGCTGGAGAATAAACACGCCAGCGAGCTGCAGGCTCCTCGTGCCAACAGCCTGCATGGGGGAGGGAAATTCCCCACCTTGATGGCGAAACGTGCCCTGCTCCTCAACGCAATCCTTTGGCGAGGTCTCCCCGCTCCAGCTATGCCTCGACGGGTTTTCCTGCGTGGCTTTTTCTCTTTGCAGGTTGACTGTGCTTGAAGATGCACCAAGATGCTGCTCTATGCTGATGGACTTTCCAAAAAAAAAAAAAAAAAACAACCCCCTCCACCCCCCAAAAAAAAAACCAAAACCAAACCAAAACAAAACAAAAAAAAAAAACAAAAAACAAACAAACAAAAACAAAAAAACAACCAACCCCGAAATCCCAAGAATTCCCGGTTCAGAAACAGGAGGTGTGCAAGCCCTGCAGGTGCTTTTGGGATGCGATCAAGGGGCATCACCCCAGTTGGCCTGGCCTTTCTTCTGGCTTCTTGGCTTTCCTCCGTCACCCGTGCAGGGTGAAAAGCCACTTCCAGGTAAGAGTTGTGCAAAGACGAGACCCAAAGCTGCAAACCCCTCCCCGGCACACTCGCCTCTCGGACCGGTGGCGTTGCCAAACCACGCCGAAGAACTGACGAGCTTCGTCCATCTGCCGCAGCGCTCTACGAGGACAAATTCTAAAGGTGCTTTCCAAGGGGAAAAGCAAGAAACTGTCGCTTTTTCACCTCACAGAGGATGCACGCAGGATCTGTCCCCGATGGGCTCAAACCCATCCTCCTCCTCCTCCCTTTTACAAGAAGGGCTGCGCATGCAACGCCTGCTGCACCAGGACTCTGCACTCGCAAGCACCTCGTCACAGCCTCAATAAAACCCTGCCTGCAGCTTGCCTCAGAGATAATTTCTTGCTAACACAGAAAACACGAGGCCATGGCTATCGGCATGTGCCCACTGAGTTTCTCTTAGAAGGCTGGACTAGTGCAGCCTGTGGTGCTCCCCATTTAGACGTCAAGAGCTGCTGATACACCTGGTAGGGAAAGGTTAGGCGATGCCACCAACGCCTTGTTAAAATACTGTGAATTTTCTTCTGCCATCCACCCAAAGACAGAAAAATTTCAATATAGGAAGTCAAAAGTAATTCCCCAACTTTCTAATATGCCACCTTCTTTCTCTAGCAGTCACCGATATTTTCACTGGGGATGTACGATGGAGACTGGCAGCTGAAGGAAAAGGAAAAGAGGATAAAGAATTCCTATCCAACATCAGGACAATCCTTATACTCCCAGGTGTTTCAAGGACCCATCAAGGAGAAGGGAAAAAAGAAACTGTTGGATTCATAGTTTTAGGCATTTCACCTTTAACCTTCCTCCCAGCAAAGGACTATATAAAGATAAAACCCAATCTTTTTAGAAATATTATCATCACACTGGCAGGAGTATTTCTTATAAATCTAAAAAATCAAAAGATTATTTAGGTCACCTTGAGAAGCGGATCTAACATTGCATCACCGGACATGTCAAGTCTTTAATAACGTTTACTCATATATTGAATAATATTACAATCTATAATCGATTTTCAGATTCTTGCGGTGTTTAGTACTTATGAGGTATGTACAGCTAAGATGCATGGGCTTCAGTTTACCCTTTTTCCCCACATTATGCCACGGGTAAGCAAGATCCCAGCCTTGCCATCTTGGGCCAGCTGGGTTTCTTAGTCATGGTGCATTACGCACCCCTTGGAGCTCTGACCCAACTTCTTCCTTCTTCCTGGAGACAAACGCTCCTGAGCCGATGCCCATGGGAAGCTCCAGGGTTTGGATGATGCTCTCCCTGGCAGCCTGGCCAAGGCTGGGCTTCCCTCTGCCCCACTGTCCCACTGCCACTGGGACCAGCCACGAGCTGCCTTCCTGCCCCATAGCTGCCCTCACCTGCAAAGGCAACCGGGAAGACCCTGTGCTAAGATCCTCAGCCTCTTCTGGCTAAAAACCCAGAAAATTCAGCCAACTTCCTTCCATCCCCCCAACATTGTACATGGGACTATGAATCTTTTCCTCCCGCTGGCTGCGCTGCCAGTCCAAACTTCACGGGGTTTATTTATCTCAGCGCTTTCCATCGACAGGGACTTGGCCCTTTGACCTGAAATATTCCCCCAGTTTTGCATTCGGTACCTTTATAACCATAGGACTTATTTAAAAGGTCAAGCAAGTTTTGACACTGGATTAGTCTGTGATCACGGCCCACATCTGGAGATATCAAGAACTCTTGGGAGACGTGACTAAAATTAAACCCAAGCCAAGTGATGCCCTTGCCTGCTGGAGCGACTGGCTCCTCTTGACTGAACATGAGGAAGACCATTACACGGCAAGGTGTAATCAAGGAGGTGACATTCGGTTCCCTCAGAAGAGGATAATTTGGCAGCCAAGGAAGACCAGCGCAGCGCTACCAAGATGCAGAAGGCTTTGTAAAAGCTCTTAAAGACAAGCTGCTTTTCAATTAGGCATAGACTCTTCATATCTGTTGAAGAGCCTGCCAATGCCACAGCACAAGACAAAACCATCTGATTGGGTTTCTTTGTTCCTCACTCACATTTGACAGGCAAAAGAAAGGGAACAGGCTGTCTCTACCCCTTCTTGACTTTGAAGTCCAGATGCTTTCCATCTTCCCCCGCCCCCCAACGACTAGAGTTATCAGAGAGCTTGGGAAATATCTCCTGTCAATACACGTGCTCGGCTCCCATTAACACTAATGAGAGTTGTGTCCATGAAGAAAAGGGGCAGCCTCTTTGTCTGTAAAGTATTGGCTTTCATAGCAAGTAGCTTGGCTCAAACTTGACCTACAATTTTAATTGGGTTTTGAGTCTTCGCCTAGTGACTGGCTCCCCCCTACAAAACCCAAAAAGCACAATGTAACAGCACATCCTCAAGCACTATCAGTTTTTCAACACTGCCAGCAAAGGCACCAATCCCCCATCGATTTTGGTGGCTGTTCAGCATAAAAATTGATAGCAAGTTCTGACATAAAAGGTATTAAACATCCTATATCATGGCTATTGTCAAAGGAAAAAAAAGACATTTTCCTTATTGTTTGAGGCCTGTCCAAACACTCTGTGCCAAGTGGTAGAACATTTTAGTGATAATACTCATATTTATTACTTGCATCGTGCAAACAGTCAAGAGCCATGGTCATGGACCAGATACTCAAACACAGTCTCAGACCCAAAATGCTTATAAACTCAACTGTATGAGTTACTCTAAAAAATAAGCAGATATATCAAAGGGAAGGGTAAGGAGATAAGCAATTCACTCAGCAATGGCAATGGGACAGGATAACCACCTCTGGGAACGAGGGTGGCATGGGCGTGATGGCCACCACTAGCGCGTGGTGGGGTGGGTGCCCCTCCATCCCCACTGTGTGTGGCAGGCGGGTGGATGCCCATCACGGGGTCTGCAGGGGAGCATTTTTTGCAGAGATCCAGCCAGTCAGGACATCTTCCCGCTCACTGCTATAAGGAAGCGGGAGCGGAGGTGGAGTAAATACAGACGGAAGTTTCTGTTACTTACCCATCATGCCACAAGAGAAGAGGGTAGGTCCTTGACTCATCTTTGGAGTGTGCTGCAAACAACCAGAAAAACTATTCACTTCTCACAGACGCGACCGTGGCACCAGATACCACCCTGCCTCCAGCCTTGGCAAAGCCACGTGGCACCCGGCGGGGAGGAGAGCCATGGGTGCCCGCGACGGTCCCGTTTCGGCAGGGACCGGGGGACAGACCCAGTCACCTTCCCTCAGTGTCATCAAATTTATGTAAACACTGTGCAGAGTTGGTGTCGAGGCCCAGGCTTGCAGATCGTGGGTCCTGCAGCTAGTCCTTACCCACTGGAATAGCTGCAGCGAGGTCCCCAGCCCCGGGACCCAAAACACCGGAAAAACTCAACCAGGAGCTGCAATTCAGCAGTGATTCTGGCTTGGGCAAGAAAAGCAGCAGCAATGGTATCTGAGCCCCATCCAAGCCCACTAAAGCCTCCCATCTAGGTACAAAGCGGCTATTTAGTATTTTTTAAAACATATAATGTGTTTCTAAGGCAAGAAGCTCTCACCCCAGCACTCCTGGGGAGACCGCGTTTGGGTTCTGCTGATTTGCACTAAAAACAGGGGGAATCGCCACTGTATGGGCAAAAAATAATTCCGGTTGCTTTTTACAGTCTTTTTTCCCAAGAATTTTCCTCTTGACAGTGTAACAGACAGCATCAGACTTCTAAAAATGGGCATGGACAGTTTTATATACAATAAATCAATATGTCATCTGCAGCTACATGCCATTTCAGCTATGCGAAAATACACTTTCATACTAATTGTTCTTTTATTATCCCCCAAAATATCCATATTCTGCTTCTGAAGCGTCTTTCCTGGCAACAGCATCCCATCTGACCAAGGCTTTATATCATCTGAGGGAAGCACCAGCATGACCTCCACATTCATCTGAGCTGTCATAGCTGCGTTTTATCTGGCATTTAGGCCACCACATTCACATCTTCTCTCCTGATCCATGTTTTACACGTTGCCTGTGCACATTACAATAATGTACCAAATACTGGCACCTGACTGTACAGAGCAATCCAACAAAAGGATCCCATCTCATATACAGAATATTGCAAATATTGAATGTAGAGGGAGGTGAAGGCAGAAAGCAACGATGGGGTGCAGATGTGGAGAAGGGAAATAAGGGTAGGTCACCTTCTTTGGAGCATGTGCCACTTTTCTAGGTGAAGTTAGGATATGTCCATCTGTCAAGCCCCATCTTATGAAGCAGTAGGTAGCACTAATCGGGAGACAGTGAGGACAGGCAGCTGTCTTCAAAAAGTGGCCAAAATGGAGCAAAGATGGAAGTGGAACAAGCCCCAGAGGAGGCAGTGGTTGTGCCAGCACCCATCTGTGTGCCAGCCCCAGAGACCAGCTACTGCCTGCAAACGCAGGAGAGACAGGAACATCTGTAGGTGACAGATGTCCCATACTGAGTATAATTGCCATTTTGTAAGAGTCTTGTCTTAACACCAAATGGGAACTGAACCAAATGAGCCCACTGGGTGTTGGTAGGTGATGCTGCCCCACTGCTCAGACATTTAGTTCCTTTAGGTTTTGCTTTTTGGCCTTTCTCATGAAGCGAATGGAAAAACTCTTGCTTTCTTTGGTGAATCAGTCTTCTTGTGAACATCTGCCCCAATTGAACAGCCCGGACAACCCAGCTATTCAACTTGTGCAACCAGGACTATCACTGCACTATCAACCCAGCCCCGGAGCTGCGGGAGGCACTCAGCAAACACGCCGGGGCAAAGTTTCACGTTACAGCTCTGCACCTCTGCTGCCTGCCGTCGGACAGCCCGGGCGCCTGTCCCTTCCCGCAGTAGTAGAAAAAAGTACTTCTCATCTGCCTCTCTGCAGCAAGTTCCCCTCCACCTGCCCCACACACCTCCTGGGGCAGAGCCGGCGTCGGATGCTCAGGCTCCCCTCTCATCCCCCAAGGAACAGCAGCTGCAGGAGATGCTGCCTTCCCAGCAGGAGCCAACACTAAAGCAAGGATATTTTTCTAATATATCCATAGCCTTCCTTCCCAAATTTCACCCTTTTAAGGCAGGATTTAATGGTGCCTCTGGCTTGCTCACCTTCTCTGCCGCCACACACTGCCAGGGCAGCCTGCCTTTGCCCCGGCACACTGTGTTATCTGCCTGGGAAGCCTGGCCGGACAGTTTGTCATCCTCAACAAACTTAGGCATTTTTATTTCTTTCATGCTCAGATTGCCCATTTATGGCTAGCCCTGCCAGATGCTTCCTGCTGTGTTCCTGCACGCCCTTATCTGAGACGCTCAGCGCACCCTGCGAGGAATAGCTTTTCGGTCTAATTTCTTCTTGGACTATGACCATCTCCTGGAGGACAGAGGAGCAAACGTCCACAACCAGCCTTGCTCTGGGCTTTCTAGGAGGCTCTCCACCATCCTACATCTCCTCCTCCTGCTCCCCACCCTCGCTTGCTCCGACGCAGCCCCCAGACACCGTGTTGCCCCTCATTTCTCACTACCGTAGGAATGCTCAGCCCCACGGCCTCGCTCGCCCCTTGCAGCATCATCCAGTCTGTTTGCTGCCCCTGATTTGTTATTTTTTCTTGCTGCCTGCTTATTCGGCACGGTTGGATTTGCATCTCTCCAGGCTGCCAGCAAGACTGTTAAATACAACACTGCCCTTCGCCATCTCCCACTTAATCCTGCTCCCCACTTGCTCATCCTTCTATTAATGACGAGCATCTGTTCACTGTTGATGAAGCAACTTCTCGCCCATGTTATTCATGGCATTGATTTTATTTTTTTTGTACTGTTTATTCCATTGCATGCTTACTGAAATTCACATATGCAACAGCCACAGCAGTCCAATCATTTAATAATCACCTTCTCCTTAGATATTAATGCAGCTCAGTAGAAATCAGTGCTATAAACCATTTTAAGATCCAGCCCTGCGGCACAAAAAAAACCCAATTATAAAGCTACGGCAAAGCTCTTGGCAGCAAAATAGTTCTGAACAAAGATTTCACAAAGCTTACCAGCTCAGTCCTGCATGTTATGGAGTCAGCACCTTTGTTTTCCCGAGTTTTGGTTAAGATCATCACCATGGTAATGCAGTCCTGCCTCGGAGTCCATCAGGGTCCAGGCAAAGGGCGCTGGCAGCCGCGGTCTGGTGAAGCTCCTCTTTCAGTCCATTTTTACCCCGGGAAAGGCTCGGACCCGCCGGCTCCTTGAGGGGTGCACGGGAACAGCTTCCGAGCGTGGAAAACTCCCTGGAATCACAGAAAGAGGGCAAGAGCTTTAAGGGACTTGCCTGGGGGAACGGTAAGATGAAGGGTGAGTGTGCTGGGCAAGGGGCAAGCGCTGCCCGAGAAACACCCCGACAGCAGTTACTCCAGGGGAGTATTTATTTTAGACTCTTAAATATTGTTGGCGCTCCTCTGCGCTCCACCAGCGCAGCGGTGTTTCACACGACGGGCACTCGCACGAGCTGTTGGAAGCACATAAGGTGCACAAGGCGATCCGCAGGGACAGAAGTATTCCAGGTAAATAAATAAATAAACAAACAACAAAAAAAAGTTTCCTCTGAATTCTCCCTTTGCAAAAGGGAACTCATATCCCCTATATCAAAAATACCAAGGCTTGGAGAGAAGGGCTCATTAAAGCCCAGGGTTGATCTCGCAGAAGCCCTTGTCCCCAGACCAACTAGGAGCAGATGTCCAGCAGAAAAAGCTGCTGCAGCATCATTAAGGCTGTGAAATCCCCTGGATGTGCCCATCCTACCCCAGTTACTTCCCAATTTCCAACCTATGAAGGGCCCTTAGGGAAAAGACAAAGCGAAGAGTTGCCTGAAAGGAAGGAGAGAGTTCCCTGCCCTGAAATCCTAAGGGCCACGCCATGCCTCTTGATCCTTACCTACTTCTCAGGTAGTTTTAGGTAGGAAAAGCTAAAGGCTGCACAATGAGGAGCACCTATTAAAAAACAAACTGCAAACCAGCTTCATATGGGACCACAGAGATGTGACCATGAGCTCTGTCTCCCCTCCTGGCATCCTCTACGATAAACTTAGTCCCGTGTAAAAGCAGACAGATTGTAATTAAAATCTGATTATATTAATCAATGTTTTCCCCAAATCACTCCTCTAATCCTGTTTTGCTATTTTGTTCCCTTGCAGTTCATGCAAACAACCAAAACCATCATGTGCATGATCTGAAGAGCATAAAACATTGATCTTAAAACAAGCAGTCAAAACCCAATTGCGTTATCGAAGGACAATATTTGAGAATATGCTGCTAAGTATTAAACTTCATTACAAACTGATACGGCTTCTCTGCCCAGCTTGTAAACCATCTTTTCCATGTTTACTTGGATTAGAGCTTGCAATGGTGTTACGAGTAGCTCATTTGAAGGCCAGCTGGCTAGTAAAGAAAAACCACCTTCTATTATTTTGTGAGGACAAAGTTCATCCAGAGTGCAAAGCCAGGATTGGGAATCAATACATTTTCCAAAGATTTACTGTTCTCAAGGGCACCTGGTACAGTCTCCAGCTTCTTATGGGACATCAGTGGGCTTATAATATACAATTTACTGGTAGCTTCATCATAAACCTCTGGGCGACCCAACGACCAAATGGAAATGGTCAAATAGAAAAGCAAAGCATTTCAGACCATTGAAACGACACATAATTTGCGAGCCCAGGTCACATATTTATACTATGGATAGCCTGGGTTGCAAGGAAAGAATGACGTAAGGGAGGATGGGGTGACTGGAGGACCAGTTGACTAACACAGCAACATGTCCCCATCACCGCGGGGCTGTAATTCCCAGGTGATGCTGGAAGCAGCTCAGACACCTCTGTTACAGCACGCGGACCCCCAAAAATCATGCTTTGGAGGGTCCCCAAGACCTGTGCTGGGACCAGCTTAGGGACATTAAGCTGTTTCCCAAAAGCAAGCAGAAAGTCACCATACGGTCATTAATAAGCTCAACGGGAGTTTTATATTTCTGCGTTTCGATGGCCCTTGCATCAAATATATTGGCAGGCAGCAAAATCTAGAGGTCCTGTTCAGCAGGGATGGCTGCTTACACGAGGCTCTGACTGAAGACGAGGCAAGGCGATGGTCCCCAAAAAGGGCTGCACGTAACAGGGAACTGATGGGGACAAGTGAAAGATGCATGGAAAAGGATGGATTGCGGGGCCAGCAGCCTCCCAGATGAGAGCCGCTTAGACCCCAGTGCGTGCCTCCGAGCTGGGGGAGCTGAGCCAGGTTTAAAGCCCCTCCAAGGACGAGGAGGAAGGGGCTCTTTGGGAGGGTCCAGCCTTCCCCCAGTGTTGGGGAAACCCCCGGTGCAGAGCTGGAGGTGCCCTCCTGCTCCCCTGCACCACACCGTAGATGGCTAAAGCACAGAGAGGGGGATGAAAAACACTCGAGGTTTGTATTTTTATCTGCCACAATCTCGTTTGTCCCTGACCCCGATGCAGTGACAGGGATGCTTGCCACGGGGCCGGACTCACCGCGTTTGGGAGGACGGGGAGCCCGATGCCGGCGCGGCGGCAGCATGGGAAGCAAAGATCAAACAAGCGTTTCAGAGCGGCAGTTACGCACAGTTCCTCGTTAACAGGGTAGGATTTCTTCACGAATAATTACCTTTCCCTAAGGTAATGGTTAATGTTGCTGCAGCAGGCTCCTACACACACCCAGACGTGCGGCAGCCAGCAGGCAGGAATGGTGGCAAGTACAGGCAGACGCTGCCTGCCCGAGCCGGACAGGCTGTAGCTCACACCACCTCCCCTCTCCCTGCTCCACGGCAGCTCCTGCAGTTAACACAACCCTAATGACAACGCCACAAACCTCCGGCAAGCCGGCAGTTAACACCACCCAACGTCGGTCCGAGGTGAGCTCGTAGGGCTGGGCTTTTTTTTTTTTTTTCTTCTTATTTTCGCTACCGCTCGGTTGGGTTTTGAAATCGTCCCCGTCGAGAAACTGCAATAAAAAGGAAAACTTTCCAGTGAAATGTGATCTTTGGCTCCCCATCCTGCTTCGCCGGGCTCCTGACGCACGGCCTGACCCAGCGCAGTCCTGCCCCATCACGTCCTCCCGATGTGTTCTGCGGGACACAAATCCTGCTGCAGACCCGGGATGTTCTCCCTATCGACTCTGAGGAGGAAACTACTGTGTATTTATAGACTGAAGGCTTTCACACTCACACAGAGATGTTAATAGCAAGATACTCTCCAGGGACCATTAATTATTTTAAGAAATGTATTTCCTCATCTGCAATCAGATAAAGGAACAATCTCCATCCCTCCATCAAGGTTTAGACTTGGGTCATGGCCACTGGAATGGACACGATCTCCCGAGCTGCATGGAACACGCATAATCAGCACTAACAGATAGAAATCCCCAAATTTTAGCAAACTGTGCTTCTTCCAATGGGTATCGCTTCCAACTACAGACTGAACAGAAGCCTCTGCGATCTCTGCAGTTGCAGGAGTGGAAAGAGGTTTCTCTTAGAGCTGCTTTCTGGACATCATCGTACCAACGGAGTGTTGGGCTTGGGAAAAAAATTACGCTACAAAGAGTAAGTCAGATGATTCAACTTTCATCTGAGGGCTTGAGAGGTAACGCTGGGGAACAAATATGCTTCTTACAAGGCACCAGCAAGGAGCACAGCCCTAGAGCTGCTCACCGTGGGCAAACAGCTTTTCCCTGCCCAGAGGTCCCGCTCACCGCACCACGACGGGTGCTGCCGCGGAGGACTCCAAGCACCATGCCGCTGCCGAGTCACAGCCCTACCCCGTCCACCTGCTACACTAAAGTGTGTGGAAAAGACCTTGGGATTTAACAAACTGTCTGTCGGAGGCTGTGCCACGGCTGGAGGGAGCTTGAAAAGGAACCAGTATCGCATACCCATACGTCTGACCCCCAGCAGTACTCCTCGTGAAGACGACCGAGGACCAGCATCACAGATTTCCACCTGCTGTGCGACCACCACCCTCTGTACAGAAAATATCCAACCCCCGTCCGGCTCAAATAATCCATCTCCAGACACACACGCTGACATAAAACCTATTTACAGGCAGAAAGGGCATGCAGGAACGAGGAGCCGGAGCTGTATTTTGCATACTGATACACCTTGCAAGCAGCACAGCGGGATCGCTCTCGGAATATAAATCACCTGCCCCTGCTGAATTTTTAATGCTGCTCAAAGTCTTCAGTGAAAAAGCCATGACCCATGCAGGACCCCGCTTCGTAGCCCGTGCCCCAACACTGTTCCCTGTGCCGTGCCTGAAAAAATACTCAGGCACCCTTTTGACTGCACAGAAAGTTTTCTTAAACCCCTGCAAGAGGAAAAGGGAAGCCTTCCTGAGCTTTACTTTCCAAATGAAACTGCGAGCTGCCCATCCCTCTCCAGGCAGAGGATTTCCAGCCACTTCCAAATCCCTCCCAAACTTCTGTGAAAGAGGAGGAAGAACCCAAGCCCAGCCTTCATCCTTGGCGTGGCTGCGGACTTGGCTCCATCGCCACCACCGGCGTCATTCCAAAACGCTGTGGTGCAACCGAGAGCACGCTTTGGCTCAGCAAAAACCACTCCCTTCCCCACACCACGAACTTTGGCTGTGTGGCTCCAGAAAGCCAACGCTGATGCTACACGAAGGCACAAGGCGCTTTGGGAGGCAACGCTGGGGCAAGCCAAGCCGCCTGGCTCAGCGCATCTTCCGGCAGCCGCTGCCCCGAGGTTTATCCCGGGGCACGGGGGGCTCAGTAACGCCGGTTCAGAAACTGCAAATGTCACCAAAGGAGCAACGAATACGAGCGAGGACAAACACAGCAGTTTGATATAAACAGCTCTCCAAGAGGAAAAGCAGGAAATTCAGTTTGGCAGTGGAAAATGCCAACCTCGCCTCCTCTGAGCGGAAAATGACGGACTGAGCAAAAAGCCACCGTGATTGCAGAGTTTAATTAACATAGTTTAGACCCACACGTCTGAAGAACCAAACATAATCCCTCCGGGCCAAACTGAGCATGTTTCTCAGGCTTAACCATCCTCCCCTTCTCACCAATTAAACAGAAATTCCCCTCCTGCCACGCAGATCTTGATTTCTCCATACAGGCAGACCGCTACGGAGCCTGGGCAGAGCTCAGCTGGCCAATCCCCCTCCAAATGCTACAGGTGAGTGCCATTTTGGAGAAACAGCTAAAATTGGTTACTGCAATTGAAAATAATTGTGGGGTTTAAGGCTTTCTACAGAGCATCATCATGTTGCAATTTTTATCTAAACCAAAAATCATGCCCCCCTCCCCTCCTTCTGCTTCTTAGGAGGGAATTGGGACTACACTAAATCTCCTTATTGCACAGCCTGTCTCACCATCAGTGCTTTGGACAATACCAAGAGGTACATCTTCAATTTACTGATTTACTGCATTATGAATTTGTAAAAATTCCTTGAAGCCTATCATTTGCATGTAGCTAAGTGTGGGCTCATTTCCTCACTCAGGCAGTAATTTGCCTCCCGCAGCAGGACTGAGAGGTGCTCAGCTCTGAGCAGCTTGCTGCCCTTGATTGAGCACTCTTCCACATCATTAACGAATATTGATTTCATTTATGGGGTAAAAACCTCCAATAAGTGTGAAAGATGCCATTCAGGGCCTGAGAAGAAGTCTTTACGCTCTGAAAATGCCCCATGGACTAGTCCTGGGTAAACAGGATCATGAGTCAGCGCACATGACTTCAAAGGACAAAATTTCCACGGATGCAGCCGCGTCAGGATCGTCCCCCTGGGACTCTGTCAGGAGGAAAGGGCTGCCCCAGGCTGCCCAGCCTTCGGAGCAGAAAGCCTGCAGCCCTGTCCCTTCTCATTCTGAGCCTGCAGTCACCTCCTCCCGCTCCAAAGGGGCTTCCCCGAGCTCCCGGGAGGGCAAACATGGTCCTGCCAAGAAGGAGAAGGGCTCTGGTGCAGGAAACCACACGTCCTGCATGGTGCTCCCCTCCTGCCCGGCAAGGAGTTGGGCTCACCACACGCTCCAGGTACTCGGGAAATTACCAAAGAAAAAGAATAAGGAAACGTCCTCCCCTGCCTCCTGCTTGCAGCTAGACCGGACTTTTCCAGGGCTAACAAGATGAAGACACACTTTCAGCATTAATTAATAAGACTTGCCTACACTTAACATTTTTAACGGCCGGCATAGCAAAGGGGAAAGCAGTAACGGGTTGTGTTTAAGACGAGCATCGCTCCGCGGACCCGCACGGCTCCGAGAACCACATCACCTCGTTGCTTACGACCCACGGCTCCAAAGGGGGGGGGGAACAGAGGGGCTGCCAGCGCGGGGACGGAGCCCACCTCTGCAGCCACGCTAAGAAAAACCCACAGCCAGAAGGAGCCCGAGGTTTGCCACAACAGAGCCCGCCTCGAGGAGCCACGCTGGGAACGGGAAAGGCGATGTGCAGCCACCGCGGCCGGCCACGTGCAACCTGGCTTACGGAGGCCTGAGGTTAACCCATGCTACCAGGAACAACGGAGGTAGCGGGGTCCTGCCCGCAACCAGAAATTAATTACTAAGCAAATAAAAATCTGTCATTTCAAACCAATCCCTGGCTCCGAGTCCCTGGGCACCACCTCAGCCCGACACTGAAGTCACACGAGGCAGCGGGCCCCCAGCACCCTGAGCCCCGAAACACACGTCCAAACACCCCCCAGTCTCTAGGGAGAACCTGAAATCCAAGCTCACACACTGACTTGCAGGCTTGGGGTGGATCTCGTCTGCGTGCAAGCTCTCACCGAAAAGAAATAAGAGCAATTAAGGAAAATTACACACCATCTAGTTGAGTAAAACACATCAGGTTTATTGCCCCCGTGCTCTTAGGGAATAGGAGTGGCAGGGGAAAGACTCCCTTACACACGAGCAGCAGAAAGGGACTGAAAGGACAGGGTAGGGGCAGAGGTGCTTTGTCTCAACATCTTAGCTCGAAGAAAATGGTGCTGGCAGTGACTTTGCCTTTTCCTCCCTGGCAACTGAAAAGGAAAAGAAGAGAGCAAAATTAGTCATTGCAAAACAGCAACCAGCAAGTGAGAGGTGCGAACGAAGGAGACTGCTGGTCTCCAGCGGAGAGGTGCCAATTAGACGTGTGAAGTGACTACACAGGACCCAGCTCGCTGCACAAAAACTCGTGCACAGTAGTTAAGAGAAGAGCGTACCCACTCCGAGCACTAACGTGGGGTCTTGCAGCATCTCTGGGTTGCACATTCAGCCTACACATACATTTTCGTGGAGGACCAGCGTCAGACCTTCAGAGGGATCCCTCCTTAGCTGGCCACGTGTGTAGGCTGAAGAGCTGCTCCAGCTTGAGGATGCACCCCCCCAGCACATCGCTCTGCCGTGGAGCAACGCTGGGACCAGCTTAGCCCAGATCTGTTGCGGTGGAGCTCAGCCCCACGAGCCCAGCATCCTCCTCCCCCAGCAGGACCAGTCCCAGGGCAGCCCCCCCCGGATTGGGGATAGACACTGCCAGGATTTCTGCACGGCACCAATGTTTAGACATACCCTACAGCACGGTCTGACTCTGAAAAATACCTGTAGAAAAGGCACATTCTCTTTGACCAAACCTTCAATCATTGCCTAATCCAGTCATTAGGGAACCGCTGCTAATTTTGAGTAATATTTCCAAGGAATATTGGAAATACTGGACCAAGGGTTGTCTCTGGAGAAGAGCAGCTGAAGCAGCAGCAGCAGTCCAGCCTGCTCACTCAACGAACCATCTCACCTTTCTACTTTTTTTTTTTTTTTCCCCCCAATTGTGAGATTTATTACAAGAATTTGCAATGGTCTGTGAGACACTGTGAGTGTTGGCCACGCTCCCAAAAGCTGAGGAATTGCTGAATTGAGAATTGCTTTGGCTGCTTAATCTCAACAACTGGGGATGCTGAACAAGCCAGCAGAGTCCAGGTTTACTTTTAATTACCGCTTGGAGTGTGCTGCTCTAG